CAAGAATGTGAGAAGATTAAGGTGAAAACAGATAAAGAAGTTCGATAATCATTGTTGAGATTTTAGGATGCGATCTTCCACCATTTCATTCATACGTAGTATATTTTTCTTGGATGATTCTCCGGTTTTTCAAGTTGTGGTGGATAGAGGTCTTCATTAGATACAACTTTACAGAAGAAAACATAGTCAATTTCGGACGGGAGGGATGTGTGCATGAGCGGCGCACGCCGTGCGCGGATGTTTTGACAGAAATCCTTTGCCGAGCGCATGGTGTGCGCACGGGCACGTGCGACTGAGGATGATAAGATTTCACCCTAAAAACCCCAATTTCATCCCCTTTTCACTGTTTTCTATTGAAACATCCTGTAAACCCTAGTTTTAAGCTAGACTGAGTTTAGAGATAAGCCCTGAGATGAGATTTTAATGGTTTTCAGCTTTGAATATTCACAATTATGGGATTGCTTGTGAGTTCTTTCTATCTTTTTAATTAATGACAATTAATTCCTTACTTCTCAATTCTAATGATCTTTCAACTGCGAATTGTGAATAGTTTTAATTACGAATTCGGGATTGATGAAGGACGGTTAATCATTACCTAGGATTCCATTCTTGATGGTTTAATCGCATGATTATCGTTTAATTTGTGAATGAATACTATAACTGATATCTTTTGTAAGCTGGGATGACCACTAGAATTATAATTGCACATAAATAATTTAAGATAAATCTAAATTGTTTTAGGACACCTTCACACACTTCTAACCGCTTGCTAAGAAACTTGCAGGGCATGGTTAGGAAGACATACACTCGCTCGTTTTGGCAACGATTTTAGAAGTCTATCGCATGAGAGATCAACCCAACTTTCTAAATCAGTGTACTCTACGTCGTGTGAGCGATAAGAACTTAGTATTGATTTGCGCCGCTCGGTTAAATAATTTTAATGTGATTAAATCTGATCAGGCCCGAAATATGATTGTCTGAAATCAATCCTTGTTCCCTTTTTGTCATTAATTCAAAAGAATCACTTAACTTAGCATTATTTCTGTCTCAATTTAATTCCAAAAATCAATCCCGCACCATCGCTTTTTATTTATTTATTTATTTTCAATCTCTGGAATTATTTAATACTTAATTCCCTTTTCGGTCTCTGTGGAAACGATACATGCACTTTAGCCCTATACTGCTACCTGTATTTTAAGTGCGAAAAAATTCACATCAGTTCGATTTTGACTTTTAAGTCATGTAGTTGGGAGAGTCGGAACCTTAATCAGCTAAGTCGGTTATGATCAACTCTAGGTCGATAATGGGTCTTTTACTTCTAAAAAAAGTAAATTAAAACTCATCTAGTCTCATTTTGGATGAATCAGAATGAACCTGGACCAATCTCCAGTACCAGCTTTGGTGTGAAACAATAAACTTGATTTACTTTCAAAATGAAAACTGGCTTGTTTTGGTCTAATTATGTATGTGGGACAATGTCTACTCCATATTCATACACGAGTATAAATATTAATTATCGTGTGATGACATACTATCACTTTTATTTTCATGCTTTCATACATTAGAATGTCAATATATATATATATATATATATATATATATATATATATATATATATATATATATATATATATATATATATATATATATATATATAGGGGAGAGATCAAGTACAAAGTGTGCTTATTGTGCAAATGTTTGTACGATGCACCTTGACGTTATATATATATATATAGATTAAGGATCATATACAAACTCCTCTTAATTTACAAAGTGCAAACTAATCAAGGCCATCCATTTCTTTTGATCTCCTATGCGTTGAATATCTGATGCGGCAATCTTACTTTAGAAGTTGAGGGCCCTTAAAGTCTTTTTGGTTTGTATTTAATTTTGGAAAAAAAATCTCATGATCTTTCCACATATTCTCTCTTCAACGTACGTATCCTCCCCCCATCTTTCTCTATGCAACATACACATCTCTTCTTCATCTGAATTTCTATCTTCACCTCTATCTCCAACTCCGTCTTCATCTCTATCTCCGGTCCATCTCAGATTTAATAGCATCTGATTGGTTTTCTTCTATTTGAACGCCAGGGATTTCGACACGCATGGGAAGGATATGAATTCTTGAATGCCATGGATTCCGGCATCGCCATGGAATTCGGTGTATATGCTGGATGCTTTTAAACTTTTTTATTATGGTATTCGACTGTATATCAATTCAACAATTACGTATTTATGTAATGTTCATTTTATTTGAATATGCAAAATTTTACCATTTAGAAGATGTTTCTCGGACATTAAGCATCTTGTGATGCCCTAAATTTTGTATGCTTGTCAGTCGAGTGCACAATGCAGATTTCATAATAATGATAAGATGGAGCAAATTGTCTTCTACAATGCACATCTCAACTTACTAAAATGCAATATTCGATCTTCTAAAATGTCACGCCATAATGATCAAAATGCAACATATGAGCTACTAAAATGCAGATGCAATAGTGATAAGATGCAATATGAACTTCTAAAGTGCACATACCATCTTATTAAAGTGCAATATATATGAACTTCCAAGATGCACATGTGATAATGATAAAATGCAAGATATGAATTGCTAAAATGCAACATCGACATATTTTATCACTATGTGGTTCTAATATAAGTTATGGAGAAATTATAAATATATAATACATATCCCGTAACCGTAATATGCACATTCAGTAATCTTAATATGCACAACATGTAACCTTAATGTGCAGACACTTCTACCTGTGTTGACATCTTACAAACTTAACATGTTAGAAGTTCTAATATAAACTATGCACACATTATTAATATATAATACACATCCCATAACCTTAATATTTTAGGTTTGAAAAATAAAAGATTAATTAGGAAGTGAGTAATTCCTAGAATCAAGTATATAAATGTCCTTTACTTATTGTGAAATTTTGAATAATCCTCGAAAAGTACTGACAAGTGAATAATTCTCAAAATCAAGAATGTTATTGCAACCTTAATTTGTTGATGGCTAAAAACTAAGATCTTAATCCATGCACAAATGGATGGTTGAAATTTAGTAGTTGCATACAATCACGTATGTTTCCTTTTTTTTGATTGCTAAACATGGATGGGTGGTTGAACTATTAGTGGAGGGTTAGCTGATTTTTTGGGATTGCTTTCCATAATAGACTATGCGGCTCGTTTTTTTAAATGCTAATTGACTTTGTTGTCCTTGCTTACTAATCGTGCATCTTAGTAGGACAATTGTTTTTAGTTCTCTGCATTTCACCACATGGAATGCTACGGTGGTTAATAGATGGATAGCCATTGATTTGCCCAATTTGAACGTACAAGATGAGTTTGCATTTTGTACCGGAAGCATGGTTTGTATGTGATCTCTTCCCTACACACACTTGTGATTCGCCCCATACATCATAAATTAATAGGTCCCAAATGTTATGAGAGCATCTCCAATGCTTTTGATCTATTGCATTTGACTTGGTAAAAATATAGACAAAGTCTATTTAAAAAGTGAGTCCATTATTACAAAAAAGGAAGGTGCATATATTGCATACCTCTTCCATGTGGAACAAGGCAAATATAAATGTAAAAGCAAAATAAAAAATGGAAAATACGGGGTAAAAGAAATGAGTGACTCTTCATACACATAGGAATGTTGTCAGAAGGTGCCACCAAGGGTCCATTGATAGACCTTGTGCGAGATCATGCTTCATGCCACATAAGCTGCACCACATGTTTTCTTTTCTGCATCGGAGAAGCCAAGTGCATTTATCGAGGTGAAATCACAACTCACCTCAGCATTGGAGATGTCCTGAAACACATAAACATAATCCATATCACTCACCTTGGTTTGCAATAGTACAATGTGACATTTATATTACAGTATGAGTGTGTTGTTGTACATTATTGCATTGAAGAGCAACACAATCTACTGCTCTATTGAAATAAAATAACAATACATTAAAAAATGTGTTTAATGTCAACATGGCTTCCGTCATTTGCAATGAAGCCAAAGATTCACAATTTTTTGCTTGGGAATATGATGTAACAAAGCAAAATGACTCACTAAATTGTCAGTGCTTCCTTGTTTTGAAGCAGTAGTTATTTCATGCAATTTTCGACGCGATTTTCACCATGAGTCATCCAGGAACAGTCTCTCTTTGTTTAGTACAAGGTTAAAGTTGCATACACCCGGCCCCCTTACTTTATAGTAGGTGGAAGCCTTTGCGGTACTGGGATAATGTTGATGATGGTGAAATGTCAACATGGTCCTTTGGTGCTCTCTAGTCTAGTTTATAAGTTAGATTAGATGGGATGCGTTTGACATTTAGAGCCCGTTTGGAGAACTCTGTTTTCGGCTTATCAGGCTTATCAGCCAGCTTTTTCACCAAACACGTAACTTTTACTTTCGCGCGCTGAATTGTGTAATAAGCCGAAAAAGTAAGGTTGGAGTTACTTTTCTGGCTGTATTGGCTGAAGTTACTGTAGAGGACCATTTTAGCTATTTTTTCATATAATTTTTTCTTTAATTTATTAATAAAATATATTTTTAAAATATTTTTTTCTTAAATCAGCAGAATCAGCCAAAACAGCCACTCCAGCCAGAATATCATAAATTTCAGCAGAATCAGCCGAAACAGCCGATTTTGGTGCTACCAAACGGGCTCTTAGCATTTAACAGTTAGCGGATTCTATTAGCGCTTAGTAATAGAAGATTCAATAAGCGAGTTTGGTTGGCAGAATAATTTGGTGGATTGCAAAAAAAATGTTTGATAATTTAGTAACAAATGACATATTTCAAAATGATAACCTACTATTGCAACATTTTAATTTCAACTCCTCCATAAATAATGATAAAACCGAACAAATATATATCAAACAATGTTTTCAGTGATTGAAAACGTGATTGAAACATCATTTCCCAAACACCTCATTATTTGACATTTAAACAAGTTTATTTGCTAATTTTGTTACAGTATTTCCGGAGGTGGTAAAATTTGATTAAGAGAATTTAAGGACGAACAAGTACTTTCATTAGTAGTAAACTACCGCCGAACAACTTTACTTGCTTTGAATGTCCTTTGCCTTGTTCGTCTCTAGGCCAAATTATTTCACTGTATGTTTCCTTTTTCTTCAACGCACATTTATAAATACACAGATTTATAAATAAACAGATTCAAATTCATCCATTGTGCACTTCTGCTAGATTGCCGCTACCATGTACTACCCTAATTACGATCCCAGATACTCTGATTCCGCCTCATACCGTCAACGCAGAAGGTACATCCCGTCAATGCCCTTTTATCACAGGCTGTTCATATTCTCATATCAGTATAAAAATATGTTTTTTGTGCTCGAAGAAGTACGGTATATGAGTAGAAGATCTGTTATTATATTATAATAATTTTATTAATTAATACCCTGGCGCACTAAGTTCTGGACAAGGAGATGTCGCAATTTTCAAAGTAGGGCAGGAAGGGTAGGGATATCTTCAACCTGTATATACTTTAGAGCTTCTGATTAGGTATTTATGAATGTTGTGTGTTTCTTGATTTTAGTGATCTAGTGGGACCACCACATAGTAATGTTCCTCCTCATGTAGCCGGTGTACCTGCATTGAGTTATGGCCGTGCTGCCCCGACTCCCTATGGAGGTCCTTTGGTGGTTCCAGCTCGTTCTGCAGCTGGTGCTAGGGTTGTGGGGGATGTAGCTGGATCTATACCTGCTGCTGGCGGTCATCCCTGGCACCCTTATTCCCATACTGGTATTAGCAGACAGGTCGGTGATGGGATCAGAGATGGAGAAGGTGCTGGTTTGGGATTTTCTCTGAATAATAGAGGGGGTCGAGCTGGTGGGAGGGGTTTTGTTGGAGGACGTGGTGGGCAAGGAGGTGGGAGATCTGGATTTGTTGGAGGACGCAGTGGCAGTGGTGGGCGCGGAGGTGGGAGATCTGGATATGCTGGAGGACGCAGTGGTAGTGGTGGGATAGGAGGCAGGCATGGACCACATAGTCGGCAGCGAGATGATTTGGATAACCTTTCTCTCCCTAAACAAGATTTTAGAAACTTGGTGCCCTTTGAAAAGAACTTCTACAGAGAGAGCCCCTCGGTGATGGCAATGACTGAGCAAGAGGTTGCAATGTATCGGGCAAGGCTTGAGATTACCGTTCAAGGCCATGATATTCCAAGGCCGATTCGAATGTTCCATGAGGCAAACTTTCCTGGTAGTGAGATTGTCTTAACCGTGTCAAATTTCCACTTTTAACTATTTTTGCATTCCGTGGAGTATCTTTCTAATTGATTAATTGTGCTTTTGTAGCATATTGCCTTGAAGTTATTTCAAGATTGGGATTTGTCGAGCCAACTCCCATACAATCACAAGGCTGGCCAATGGCCTTAAAGGGAAGAGATCTGATAGGAATTGCAGAAACAGGTTCTGGGAAAACTTTGGCATATTTACTGCCTGCTTTTGTTCACATTAGCGCACAGCCACAGTTGGGTCAGTACTCTTCTCATTTTCTGTTATTGTTTTAAACCTAGCATTACCTTTGCGTGAGCAGCCGTTTATGTTATTTTCATAAAAATCTAGTGCAAGGTGATGGTCCCATTGTGCTAGTGTTAGCACCTACAAGAGAATTAGCTGTTCAAATTCAAGAAGAAGCTGTTAAATTTGGGTCACATCAAAATATAAGAAGCACATGTATTTATGGAGGGGCCCCAAAGGGACCCCAAGTACGTGATCTTAAAAGAGGTATTTAACTTTAATCACAATTCATAAATTTATTCATATTTCCCCTCTATTCTAGAAATCATGTGGCTTGAGACAGGTGAAAGTGTTTGATTTTTTTTCTATGCCAGGAGTCGAAATTGTGATTGCCACTCCTGGTCGGCTGATAGACATGCTAGACGCTCGGCATACAAACTTGAAAAGGGTGACTTATCTTGTTTTGGATGAGGCTGATCGAATGTTGGATATGGGGTTTGAGCCTCAAATTAGGAAAATTGTTGACCAGGCATGGATAACGTCTTATGATATTATCCTTTCAAATTCTCATCATTATAACTCTGCATGTTTTTTTTAAACTATTTATAGTAATTTATCATTTATGTGCTTATTCCTTTGTTCCCAAATTAGCTCTTCTCACTTTTCTTTTCACCTCCTCAAAATTTTCTTTTTATCGTCTTTCAAGGAGGAATTGTGGGGTTGATACTCCGTATATTTTATTTTATTTTTAAAGAATTCTTAAGATGTTTTCACTTGGACTTGTTTCAGACCAGACAAGAATTAAACAGATCAGACCAAACTTAGACAATAGTAAAATACATATATACCAGACCTTTAACAAACAAAAGCATACCTGACGTAAACATGCCAGATCAGACTAGACCAGAAAATTACAGTTCAAGTGAAAACATTCTTAACCACACAATTTTGTTTTTTTGACAAGTGTGGAGGAAGCAAATAAAAAGGTAGTTTGGAGAAGGAGGTCCCATTTTCAATTACTATACAATTTGAGTGGTTGCTGATAAGTAAACTAAAATCTATTAATATCATTGGATATTGATCAAAATGCATATGTAGGTGGACTGCCTAATGGAGAAAATTCATTATGTTGACCATATGACCTTGGGTTTAATTTTATCCCCAGATATTTGTTGCCCAAACAAAAATAGCCCCAAAAACCTTCATTTGGTTCTCATTTACACCTAAATGCCATGTGGCCTTCTCAATTTGATTTTAATATAATTTCCTTGGTCTCACCATGTTCATGGAACGTGTTTGCCCTGATGTTTGTAGTATGTTATGTCCCCCACTCTCTGTATAAATGAAAGTTCCAGGGCTATGAAATCATTTAATAAGAATTGGACTTTTAGTTACATTTAAGTCGGGAGTCTATGCGGCTTTTAATACACACACAATGATATATGTATGTGATGAAAGCAGAAAATAACAATCAACGGTACGGAGGTGGGCTCAAGCCCGTCCCCGCCTACGGTAGACCAACAATGGTCTGGGGCTCGGATCTGCTTCCTGCGCCCCTTCCTGCTCTCTATCAGTATGTGTGTGTGGATGTATATATCATAGATTATACGGAGTGTATAGGAAAAACTCTCATGCCAAACCGACATTGTACCATGTTTAAAAAGCTGGCACTGTTGTGCTAAAAGTACATTGTACAATCTTTTAATGCTTGTTCGGCACTATGCGGACATGACCATTTGACATTAGAGCCATTCATTATTTAAAATTTAAATATATATGCATACACATACATATGCGTATACACACATGCATATTGGAAAAAGGCTCTCTTACCAAATCAGTATGGTGCTGAAACCTTTAATTGGTTGTACATTCTGCAGTTCTGCTTAAAGCATGAATGTTCAACTAAGTAAAACTTGATTTGCGGCATGCAAATTTGGCATTGGAGCAAATCCCTACACACACCCACATGCCAAATCTATGTCAATGTATTTTATGCACAGTTTTTCTTAAATATCTGGACTCTCCTGAAGTAGGGACTTTTATCCAATAAATGCAGATTCGACCTGACAGACAAACATTGTATTGGAGCGCAACATGGCCAAAGGAGGTTGAACGTTTAGCAAAGCAGTTTCTACATAATCCATTAAAGGTTTGGGCCGCTATTTTATGTTGCATATGTTCTTATTGGCAACTTTGACTTGGCTGATACTTGATATTAATCATTCAGGTGGTCATTGGGTCCCCAGTTTTGAAAGCTAATCAATCTATAAGGCAAATTGTTGAAGTTGTTACAGATTTGGAGAAGTACAACAGGTATTATGTGAGAAAACCGAGTTTTACATTTATCCCTTAAAATGATGAGATCTGCTACATGACCCTTATTTTCTTTCTTTACTTATATTGCATTTCTTGTTGCACAATGTAAGGTTGAGTGGACTTTTGAAAGAAGTAATGGATGGAAGCAGAATCCTGATATTTGTGGGGACAAAGAAAGGATGTGATCAGATCACAAGGCAACTAAGAATGGATGGATGGCCTGCTCTATCCATCCATGGTGATAAAAACCAGGATGAAAGGGACTGGGTTCTGGCCGAGTTCAAAAGTGGCAGAAGTCCTATTATGATTGCCACTGATGTTGCTGCGCGTGGTCTTGGTAGGATTGTGAATGCTTAAAATTAGGAAGATATATAATATACACAGTGTTTGATCTTAGGTCTTTCATCCGATACATAGAGGAGTCTCCGGCTGTTGTCCGCTTTCCTAAGGATATAATCTGTGGGTTTGGTAGAAATAGTTTGGATTGTGCCTCATTCGTGGTAACTGGTAAGTGGTAACCACTAATAATTTGTTTCATGGGTAGATTCTAGAGAAGGCTGGCATGGCCGAATCTCTCTTGGTAGGAACAAGTGCATAGACAATTGCTTCCGCTGTCCCAATATTCAAGTTCACTTTCCTTTGATGTTTTTCGGGCAAATATGTCCACTCTTCCTCTGATATCAACGTGAAAATGGAAGAACATTAAGTCAATAAATCATTGATATAGTATGTACACATGCTGGTGCAACTGGGGCTCATAAGAGTCGTGGTCACCTAAGCTTCTTGCAACTTGCAAGTATCTTTTTTGCACAAACCTAATAGTTCTTCACCTCATCTTAATCTATATTATTCAAGTACCTCAACTAGACCTGTCCGCAGTTCCAAACGAAATCATAACCAAACCAGCGGTTCAGATTCTGATGTAACCACAAAGCTCAGACAGGTCTACTTCAAAGTCCTTGAGGTTGACTGATTTCTTAAGAGTAGGTACTTGTTTGATGCTAGATGTTACAAAGTTCATTTAGAAACACATTTCATTAAATGTGCACACATCATTAATGCATTAGTCCATAATAGTTAGTTGCATATAGTTGTAGATTGTGTTAAATTTTATAGCTCCTGGGAATAATATAAAGGCTTGGGATACATAGGCATGTCAATGCATTAGTCCAATACTTGCATGCTTTTTATTGTATTCTCCTTCTGAAGCTGTTTTATCACCTTTATGTTATGCAATTGCTTGTCTTTATTTTCCAAATAGTTTCTTCATTACCCTGTACATATTATTTTTCAACCTTTGATTTCTTTTTGCCTTCTCTTCACAAGAAATGTTAAAAAAGTTTCTGTATTTTCATTTTTTTCTCTAGAGTTTCCGAATTTTTAACATCTTCCACAACTTTCCAATGTTTTCCTCACAAGAGTCTTCATAGAAACATCTTCTCTACTCCTACAGTCAGAGGTAAGACTAGCGTACACCGCACCATTGTCAGATACCATTCCTGTGGATGAAATAATGACATTTAGGTATAAAATTGACCCAGTATGTCTCACTTGGATGTAGAGTCCACAGATGGTAAGAAATGCCTTACTATATTCTTCACGTAACTCCTCTTTATTAAAAATGGAGCAGATACAATTATTAAATACTAGTTGTTAGTTATATTCTGAAAGAGAATTAGGGAGCCGGGATCTGCTGGAAAGCCCACAAAAAACTCGTCTGTCCTCTTACCCTCCCCCTAAACTTTTGACGTACGATAAGAACATCAGCTGATTCCGCTGCATGCGTCATGGGTGAAGAGCTTACAAAAACTAGTATCACGGAAACTGTCCATGCTGTGTCAGAATCTGCCAAGGATGGGCAGATTTGATATTGAGGGATTGCTCATACTAGGACTAAAACGTAGTCATCTTCCAAAAATAGGACCTCGTGTTTTGTTTTCCTTAAATAGGAGAAATATTACATTTCTACCCCTAATATATTTAATTGCTCCCCTAGTTCCCTATCATAACCAGGTCAGTCCGTCGTGGCGACAGCACTCCAGCGGCTGTAGAACTCCGGCTGCGATGATATTCTTGCGACAGAAAAATTTCTGGCGACCGGCGGCGGCAGTCCGGCATTCTGGCTGAAGCACTGCTCCAAACCCTAGAGGGGTATTTTTGTCAACACCAACAACATCCAACCCTATAAGGGTATTTTTGTCCAATTTGTGGAAATCTCCTCACTGCCTGTTCGTCACAGAAACATTGCTGCAATAGCCCAAGCATCTATAAGTCTATAACTCGCACTGCTGCTAACATCATCCCCAACAAACGGCCATTCCATAAGTTGGATTTTCCTTCCACACTGCTGCCCTTGATTGGGTTTAATTGATACTGCATGACCAGCATTTGGTCATTTTCTGCCAGTTTCGTAGGCTCTCCCCTTGTTTTTCTTGTCATTCTAGGCTTGGACCGCATTGGTAGGGTTGCCTACAGAGTACACCTTCTGGTCAGCTCCAAAGTTTATGCTATTTTCCATATTTCCAAGCTCAAAATGTATACAGTAGTCATCCCGCCTGCTGCTGGTCCATTCCTACTGAAGTTTTAATTGCTTGTGGTGGTCTTCTGGCTGGAGATTCCTGATGACCTCCGCATGTGGTTTCCCACCTTCAAGATGAGTACAAGCTTGTTGCCGAGGGGGTGCTAAAATCTGGGACACAACCGCACAAGGCATTCACGCCAAGGGAATGTGGGCCACTTCCATGATTTAAAGTTTTTTCCTATCTCTGGTAATCTGGTTATTAGCTAAATTCCTATTTTTAGTTGTGTCATATTTTCTCAGTACTTTCTATTGTACAATATACAATTGGGATTATTAGCTTACATAACCAGGATTTAGGTAACGCCTCTAATCTCTATATAAGATGGAGCAATTACGACTATCAAATGGAAGTTATTAGATATATATATTTATTCCAGAAGGCAATTTGGGAGTTAAGATCTTCAGAAAATCCATGAATTATCTCTCAAATACCCCCGTCTTTTCCTCTTCCGCTCTATTCCGTTCTTCCCCAAGCCCGTGACGTATAATAAAAATATTATCATCATTACCCCAGTGCCGCAAAGTCTTGCACACCTTCGGTGAGGGAAGGGGGGGTTCGGATGTTCGCAGTCTTACCCCTGTACTAAAGCACAGAGAGACCGTTTCCGGATGACCCATAGTGAAAATCGCGTCGAAAATTGCATGGACTGACTGTTGCTTCATATCAAAGAAGCACATGCAGTTTAGTAAGCCATTTTGTTGTACTCCATCATATCCCCAAGCCAAAAAATAGTGAGTCTTTGGCTCCATTGCAAATGATGGAATTACGTATAATAAAAAAACATAGCAATCTTAATTCTTGCGATGGAGGATTTCAATCCATATGAGGGACTATCAAAAGATGAGTGTAGTAAATATAAAAGAAAATTAGGGTAAAATGTGTAGTTGAGTTTGTGTGACGTTTTGGTGGAATTTCATAGCTCATGAGGAGATACACATCATGGACATATAAGGTGTAATGGGTTATGTAACTGTCCTTTGTTGAACCAAGAGGTTTGTTGGTGGAATACATATATGCAAAGTGGTTTCTTTGTCTTACTTCCCTTACCTTTTTGTATTAAGATTCTAGAGAACATGCTTGCGGGTAATGCTGCCAATCCACAGTTTACAAGCTCATTGTCATGACAGCCGGTTGACTCACAACATTATTTAGGGATTCATTATTTCATTTTCAGAGTTGTGATGGTGGAGCTGCTCCTTATCCCTGCAAGGTTAAGGTGGGCACAATGTAGATGAGGATGTGTTATCTTACACCTAATCACTTAGATCTTATTAGTGCAGGGATAAGGGTAGGGAGTCTCATTTTTGTCAATGTCTTGACTAACTTTATTGTTTTCATTTTTTAGATGTGAAGGACATAAAATTTGTTATCAATTATGATTTCCCTACAAGCCTTGAGGATTATGTTCATAGGATAGGAAGAACTGGTCGTGCTGGTGCCAAAGGAACTGCATTCACATTTTTTACCCATGGGAATGCAAAGTTCACCAAAGAGCTTGTTAACATTCTTCAACAAGCAGAGCAAATTGTTCCTCCTCAGTTGGCTGCATTGGCACATTCAGGTGGTCACAGCTTTGGAGGTATGCATGCATAGTTGGTTTACTCCCTAAAGGTTATGTAGCCTAATTATATCTATATTAATACTGATGAGAAATGGAGGCGTGGGGCTGACTGGTTCATCATTATTTGTCAGCTTCAGGAAGAGGGCGAGGCGGCTTTGGAAACCGATCAGGATCTAATACGATTCCACTCGGTGCAAAAAAACGGTGGTAGTTTTATACTGGGCCAGGTGGGCCCTAGACATGTTATGTTCAATTTAGGGATAACTTGTGTACTATAGACTATAGTTAGTGGGTTACCTTTTCTTGATGGGTTACCTGACATTAATTATCGTACTCAAAGCTGTATTATGTATTTTACTAATCTTTCATGTTTATCTACAATTACTATCTTTAGTCTTGAAAGCATCCAGATTCCTTGTCTTGATATGAACCATGAACGGCCTTTTCGTTCATGTTTTATATTTTAAAAGACCATTCCTCATTATTGTTTGCTGTTATAGGAAAGAGTTCCAATGCTCAAACGTCATGGTGCTGGTCAAGCATTTAAAGTTGTGTATTCTATGTTTAGCGCAGTACAACTTTCAAAGCTTTCATCTATTTGTTTAAGAAAAGTCTACTTCACCCTCTAATCTCTATACTTAATTGAGCCCCCATCTGCTAGCCCCATTCTTCTATGTACTAACCCCGTCAGACCACCCCTTGTAATTTTAGATCAGATCTGTCTTCGTCATTTTTCTGTGCTTCAAAATCCAGGAGCATCTGGACTGGCATTGTGTGTGGTTAATCCGTTAATCTATACACTTCGATTATTGTTTATCTGAATGCCTATGTGAAAAGAAAATGAAACAACTCACATGCTACACGATTTGATTAATATTTTTAATAAGGCCTATAAATAATTTATAACATTAAGCAAGGTATAATTTATAGAGCCAACAATAGCTTGGATGAATTCACACTTGGCATTTTGTCTTTTTATTTAGTAAAGAAAACCCAATTATAAAACAACTCTGATAAAATGATAAATTATAGAGAACACAATAGCTTGGATGAATTCACGATGTCACTTATGGATTCTTATTATTTTCCTTTTAGAACCGTCTAGGGGTGGACTCGGGCCGGGCGGCCCGATCCGGAACCGGCCCGACCCGGAACCGGCCCGGTTACTGTTTGGCCCGGCCCGGGGCCCGGTGGGTCCATCGGTTCGGTTTGGCCCGGCCCGGGTGATGGGCGGTCCGGGCTCGGGCCCTGCTTTAGGCGAACCGGCCCGGCCGGATTTTATTTATTTTTTTAAGTTTTGGGTTGGATTAGGTATTTTTGGGCCATTTGAGGTGGTTTGGGGTTGAGGGGAGGGGGTTAAATAGAAGAACAAAAAAAAAAAAAAATTGGACCGGTTCGGCCCGGCCCGGCCCGGTTTGGCCCGGAACCGGAATCGGAACCGGCCACCGGCGGTTCGAGCTCGGGCCCCAATTTTCTGGCCCGAGGCCCGGCCGGGCCCAGGCTCGAACCGGCCCGAGTCCAGCCATAGAACCGTCAAAAGAAAATTGATATTTTTCCTTATGCTACTACATGAAAATTAATCCGAAAAAGTGACTACTTGTGCATATTGATAAAAATATGATTAACAATGAAATAAAATCGGAAAGGTATATATTTCATTATCAGTTTATTATCACTAATAGTTATTGTCGCCTTGTCGGTGTCATTGCTGTTGTGAAACCATTATGATCATCAATTTTTTACGGTAATTTTTTCGGCGATTTTTTTGCAACAAAGATGAAATAACAGAACATTCTTCAGTTGATCTTTTCCTGATGGCAGCTGCCGGCAATGGTTGCCGCATGTGGCAGAGAGGATTTAAATTACGTAAACAAGGTTGATCACATTTTTGGATAAAATCATAAAATAAGACTAATCAAATTTATATTTTCAAAAGTTTAGAGTTGATTCAAGCAAATTTTCAAAAAAAAAAACTTGGTTATCATCTTCTAAGAAGCTTATTATGCACTACACAATTCATATGAATTATTTTATCTTTCATAAATAAATACTCCCCCCGTCCCATTTTGGTTGTCCTGACTTCCCTTTTTGGATTGTCCCAAAATGAATGTCATGTTTCCTTTTTGTCAAGAAATATGTGATCCTTATCATTTCACTTTATTCTACTCAAATTCAATCACAACTTTTACTTTTCAAACCACTTTATTAATAATCGTGCCAAATTGAAAGTGGACAACCAATATGGGACGGAGGTAGTAACTAATACACAATTTCATCGAATAAAAATAGCGTAAAAGGCAAATAAGAGAACATTGTTAAATTAACATGTATGCTTAGAAGATGATAAATGGTAAAAATGATGAGATGATGAATATAAAGATTGAAGGTGAGAGGCGAGGTAGATGGAAGTGGAAGATGATGAAGTTGGCACAGATGAGGATGAAGTGAGGAAGATGAGCGATGATGAATACGGTGAAGATGAAAGATGATGAAGTGGATACGGACTATGAAGGTGATGAAAATGGAAGAAAAAATGAAAGAAGAAGAGGATGAGAGAGGAGAGAAGACTCTATATATGGAAAGAGAGAAGAGAAGGAAATGGTGGAGAGGGATTAATGTAGAATGTAAAATTAAAATGATAAAATTGAAGAGTATTTATTATTTATAATGTATGTCAAGTGTGTGCAAAAAAGTATACAAACAACATTTTTCTTACTTGAATACTCTGTCGAGAGCGGCTACAAACCTCAAATTGTCTGAATTGACACATTATTGAAATAACTAAATTTTAACAATGCGGATTTATGTCTTTAAATAGTTCTCACATTTTTTTATAAAAAAAATGGACAATAATAATTCAACTATTAGTGTTCTGCTTGAAAAAATTTTAAAATACTCTTGTGACTTATAATAACACTTAAAATACTTATAGTATTTACGAGTCAATGTAGAATTCCTTGCAATCCAGGTGTCGTCTTCGTCGATAGCTTCTTCACGGATGTCCCTCACATAGCAGTGTAGGGTTTGTTTCTCCGCCGATCACTTCGTGCGGCCTGATTTTGTTTTTAGTTTTGTGGGATTTCAACAAGAATAAGCATGAGAGTTTTCTCTGAGTTCTGAAACAAAACAACAGTCACACATGGCAAAATGGAGGTTTTGGTACATGTCTATCAAGGAATGGTCCTAGAGGAGGAGAACGACGACCTCACTTTGGACGTAGACAACGAGCTAGTGAAGGAGTATTTACCAGTTTTTTATTTTTATTTTTATGATCTTATTTTCGCACTATGTTTGATTACGTTGCTTTATTTTCCGTTGATGTCTTTAGTGTTAGGTCAACAATAATGTTTTTACTTTTGAATAGTGACAAGTACAACATCGTATAAGTGACGAAAATACATCGTCGATCACAATTTGCTTAGAGTGGCTCAAGTGGGATTGGCGAATCCTATTGCTTCTGAGTGAGTGATAATTTCTAAGTCTGGTCCCAAAGAGCATGATCGAATAATGTTTTTTGACCACTCTTGCTTGTCTATTATGTCTGATCTTGTTTTTGTTTGATTGAATTCTTCTCTAAATTCTATGATTTTAATATAAGTCATTCTCTCTATGAAAAATAGTATTTACGAGTCAGTTGAAATTTTGAGATAATGAATATTTTAAATTATTTCAAGGAGATCGTTAATAGTTGATTTACCATACATTTTTACCGAAATAATTATTGAGATAAAAGGTTTGACATATATTACCAAACATTTTTACCGAAATAAGCAAACGCTGCAAAGTGCAAAACTGCAAATCCAAGTACCCAACTCGCTCATCGCTGGAAGCCTGGAACATAGCTAACTGCCTGCCTGGTGCCTCGGTTATGTAAAATCTCGTTTTTTTCCGGAGCTATCATCAGTATTCAGCAGTTAGATAGCATCCATTTTTTTTTTTGCCTGTGATCAAGAATCAATACTTGAAAGCAGATTAGAAAGCGCTGAGCTAAGCAAAAATGGCGATGAGAGACCTGGTAACCGGTGGCGCTGCCTGTGCCGTGCCCGGCTCCTCATCTTCGTCCAATCCCCTCGGAGCTCTTGCCAACGCTCTCATCGGCTCTTCATCCAAGACTCAGGTCTCCTTCCTCTCTCGTTATATCCGACCTTAGCAGGTTATCTAGTTATTATTGGTCTAAATTCAATCAAGTCAATCGTTTTTGGGCCCAATTGAGTTTCAGTCTGCTCCAACTCCAACCTTTCACGAGTTGTGATGAGCTCCTTGTGTTTGTAAATTGCATCGGACTGGGTATTCTATATTCAAAACACATTGTGTTCATTCAAAGCAAGTAGATGTGCACCTTCACTCGTCCAAGTTTTTTATATTTATAGCTCTTCTTAAATCTTTACTGGCTTTAGCGTTCATAGTTAATGTGTTCACCACATATAACAAAATCAAAATTGCTTTCTACGTCAATATGCTGCATTTGAAGTGTATTTATAAGGTACTTTTAAGTTGTCAAGTGAATTTCTTATATGTGAATTAAAATAAATTGATTATCTGAGCAGGAAAGATTGAAGGAGATCCCTACATCAGTGACTACACCATCTGATGGAAACTTTGCTGTGGGTGCGCCGGATCCATTGGCAACTATTCCCGGACTAGAGTTTGATGGTCCATTGCAACCTAATCTTCAGGTTAATATATTCTAAAGGAAACATTATAGATTTTCGTAGTTAGGGCTCCTTTTTCATTGGGATGTGATCCATTAATGCTCATTCAACTCTCAGGGTTCAGAATTCCTTCAAGGCTTTCATGCTGCCGATCAGAATCACTTTGCAGATGTATGGGATGGGATACAAAGGCATCAACATAGGCACCCTAATGTTCATTTGGATAACTCTCAGCTGCAACCACAGTTGAATGGTAACACTTCAATACCTCTGGCAACTGTTGCTAGTATGGATGGGCTCCGTAAGTTAATGAATAATTTCTTTGGGAGAGAATAGACTACTCCTTCTGGACTCTTTATCTTAAAATTGGTCTAGTTTATTTCCCAAAAGTTATTCTGTATCTGAGCCCATCTTTTTGTTGAAAATTTTGAGGGCCTTCAATTTTAAAGTGCATGTTTACAATTTCCCTGTGAACCTACTGGAATTTCTAACTTAACTTCAGTGTAACTTTCAAGATAGTTGGGGAAAATGGAAAATGCCTTTGTCCTTCCATAATACCCATCTTGCACCTATTTCCTTACTGTACAGCTTTGTGCATTCTCTTGCTGGCTTAATATCATTTTATAATTTAATTTTAAGTTCACTCAGGGCTTAAGCAGTAATCTGTGGACCTTTCTAGGACTAGCCGGGTAAGCCAGTAAGGTTGTAAGTTGCGCTGTTGATCATGCAGGTCCACCTCAAAGAGTATTGTCAAACTTTTTGCACTCTTTCGTTAATAGCAGCCATGGTGGAGTCCCTTTCCATCCTGCTTCACTTCCTGTATTAGGA